TCGCATTCTCCGGATATCGCAACCGCGTCGTGGTGGATGTCGCCAACTTGTCCCAAGACGAATCCATCATCGATCTAACGTCCACCGGCACCCAACGGGTTCTGGGCTCCGACGAGGAAGAGTAGGGCATGGGAGACGACGGCACCCTGAGTCCCATGCCCTACTCTACCTTGTCGGTGCCCGGACCAACACTCTGGGGACTGCAGCCAGCCGCCAGACATGGCCACGGCGACCGGACGAGCTCCGCTTAAAGATCGCTATGTGGCATGTAATAATATGGATTTGAGGTTTCTTATTTGAGGTATCCGGATGTGGATTGCATTATTTGAGGCGTGACCGGTCAGTGTCCGCCAACATGCCTGGGCGCGTCCGTGGGCGTTTGGGGGGGCGGATTTTCCCATCGCGGTTGTAGATGCTCTAAATTCATATTGAATCGTATTAAGGAACTAGGTTGCGCCTAGTGCCAAAAATGCATAAAAATACTAAAAAGATCTGACAAAAGGTAATTGAAGGGATGTAAAACGATTACCTTCCTCAATTTGGCCCCAAGATCCACAAAAGCGATGCACAAATGGAGATCTCTTATGTTTTCGTGGAGGAAAGGAGGAAGATAGGGGTGAATGGGTGCCCCCTCCCTCTTTTACCTCTTGAGGGGGCTACCGCCATCGAGCCTGGCGGTAGGCTATAATGGGTCTACAACTGCAGACCCTGCTGGTAGCCACTTGTCTATGTCCATGAGTGTTGTGATGAATGAGGGACGTTGACCAGGTTCCTACCGTTATTGACCATGACAGCACGATGATCGCAGTAAAATGGTCAGATCCAAAGAAGAAGAAGAAAATCAGAATGAGAACAAATCATGCTTTAACTTTGAAATGGTTTTGACCGATTGATGACACAACAAACTTATACTGTATGTGTGAATGCCGCGAGAGAAGCTAGAAGCTTTCAAGATGGCGTACGCTAGTACTGTGCTCACACCGGGCATCATCTTCAGAGGTGGGTAGAGCACAACGATGGTACATTAGTCACCGGTACAAGCGTACCGCTGGGCACGTGAGCGCCTCCAGCCCATGCCTCCTCCCCCTCCTCTAGCGCATCATCATCTGAAATCTGAGCATGAATGAATGACTGGATCTGGACGCGAGTGACCCCATCGGCCCATCGCCTTCCAATCCACACTGCCTTTTCCTGTCGCCACAACAGAGAAGAGAACCCACCAACACATGACTCAGAATTACTGTCCGCCCGTAGTACCATACATGATACATGTACCCCTACCAAACCAAACCAAACCAATCTTTGTTACGAGGTCGTAGATCAGTACTACTACAAGTTGGATGGCCGATCAACGAACGAACTGCTCAGCAAAAAAATGTTGTGAGGCCACATGCACCGAACCGAGCAAACGAGCCTCGCCGTAGACAGCTCGCCGGTGCCGCTGCCCTGCCACCCGATTCCCCGTACTCCTCCTCCGCCGGAGCACGTACCATGGACCGCCGCAGTGGATGCAATGCAATACAGGTTTAGGTTTGACTGGACCGGGCTGGGGATCCGAGGCGGCAGCACATGATTCCCAGCATCTTACACGCATAGTAGAGCCAGACATGCACATTTGATTGCGGGCGGCCAAGCTCGGACAGGACAAACAAAGCAGCATGGGCGCAGGAAGGCAAGAGGGGGACGAGCAGAGATGGCCTTGGAAAACAAACAATTCAGACCAACTTCCAGGGGCAGCGACTCTGATCAGATTATTTACTTGCTGATGACAGTCAAATGAGGCGGTCAATGGAGGCAGCCATGGACTGTACTGCACATCCTTCTTCCTCTCCGGTTCACAAAACCATGAATATGGTATCCAAGACATGTGTTCCTGGCCAGCTTAATAATACTGCATCTAGTATGTGCAAGAAAACACAAGAGGTAAAAGCACCTCAGGTACCCTAACTTGCATGAGATGTGATGATTTAGTCCCAAACTTGTAAAATGCAACTTCACCATACCCCAACTTGCACCGGATGTGACGATTTGATCCCCGACCTATCACAGTGTGACAAATGGCAGCCAAGTGGCTGGAACGGTCATCGCCTGCACTTTTGCAGAAAACACTCTGCCGTTTTATCTAATCAACCCACGGTACATGGCACTTGAATTAATTCTGTCTCAAAACCCCCTTTGCACTGCACCAATTCAGTTAACTATTTACACTACACTGCAGTACATGGCATCATGTGAACGGCAGGGTTCCAACGGAAGCTTGCTACTGATTTATTTCAAAGTTTTCCTTTGTCCACGCCCTTATTATGTATTGTGTGTTCATTGCTCCATTCGCTCATCTGAAAAAGTGCACCAATGTTTCTCGTCCATCAAGAAAAAATGAACACTGCACGCAATACTACAATGGGGACAAGAGCCAAACTGACAGACATAGCGCGCGGCGACTGCTTTCTAGCGAAGAAACAGTACCGACCAAAGAAGCTATCCAGCTGTCCATCATCTTCTTGCGCAAGTTGAAGAGCTGGGGGGTGAGCCGCTCCGCCATGAAACTTTACAGAAACTTCGTCGGAATCGGGGATTTCTCCCGTCCTGCAAGTTGGGATGTGTTTGGTTCATCAGAATCATCATCTTTTTGATTGAGCATCAATGCACGCGCACCACACATCAAGCATGCCTCAACAGCAGGCTCCACAACCGTGCATACAGCAGCAGAAAGTACAGTAGCAGAAAAACTACACAAAGCGCAAAACACACGATGGCAAACTGAAGAGAGAAATATTGATTCATTGTCTCACGCATCCACCAGCGGACCAGCCCCATGCACGTGGCCGCCGCCCCACCCTCAATCACCGGCGCCGCGTCTCCTCGGCCCGAGCCGCCTGGCTCCTCGAGATCTAGCCGCCACGCCGCCTGCCTCCTTGAGATCCAGCCGCCGGCCATCTCGAGATCCAACCGCGCCGCCGCCTCAAACCCCGTCCTTCATCTCCAGTGTGCACGAGCGAGAGAGACGAGCCCGAATAGTAATGGGAAAGTGAGGTTTCACGTGTTCGGGAGGGGGCATGTACTAGTAGTATCTTCGCTATGGCATGTCGACGCTGTTGTTTTTTCACTGCAGGCGGCCGCCAGCGATGGACGTGGACATGGCGGAGAGCAGGCTGGCCCCGACGCGGAACCCATCGGCGCGGTTGCTGCACCGAGGGGTACGGAGCCAGCGCCCTACGTGCCCAGTGTCCGCTCCCCATGCGTTGCGCTAGCACGTTTAGCATGCGCCTAGAGCAGCCGCTGCCGGCGGGCGGCTGGGAGGCGGGCTTGGTGTTGCCGGTCGGGGCCTCCGCCCCTTGTGCAGGCTGCAACGGAACGAGCCCGGGTGGTTCCTCGAGGAGCACATGCAGGACCGGCGGATCTTGGCGGCGCCGCCTGAGGGGGAGGAGGGGGGAGACGTGACGCTGACCGACTTGACCGGTGAGCCGCCGGCGGAGAGCTTGACGCGGGAGAGGGAGGCGGAGTGGTAGCTGGGAATGGGGCTCAAAAGGACAGGGCCGCTGGGCCGGGATGCAGCCGCCGTCGCCATGATGAGAGATTGGCGAGGTGGAGCAGTTGGGAATCAGAGAGGAGTGACTTTGGTATCTCAGTTGAGCTTCGATGATTCGCTGCCGGTTTCGGTTACCAGAGATGCAAGTTGAGACATAATTAATTCAAGTGCCATGTACTACGGGTTGATTTAGATAAAACGGTAGGGTGTTAGGCGATGAGAGATTGGCGAGGTGGAGCAGTTGGGAATCAGAGAGGAGTGACTTTGGTATCTCAGTTGAGCTCCGGTGATTCGCTGCCGGTTTCAGTTACCAGAGATGCGAGTTGAGACAGAATTAATTCAAGTGCCATGTACTACGGGTTGATTTAGATAAAACGGTAGGGTGTTAGGCGATGAGAGATTGGCGAGGTGAAGCAGTTGGGAATCAGAGAGGAGTGACTTTGGTATCTCAGTTGAGCTCCGGTGATTCGCTGCCGGTTTCGGTTACCAGAGATGCGAGTTGAGACAGAATTAATTCAAGTGCCATGTACTATGGGTTGATTTAGATAAAACGGTAGGGTGTTTTGTGTGGAAGTGCGGTCAACGACCGGCACAGCCACCTGGCTGCCACTTGCCGCGCTGTGATAGGCCGGGGACCAAATCATCACATTCGGTGCAAGTTGGAGTATGGTGAAGTTGCATTTTGCAAGTTTGGGACTAAATCATCATATTCCATGCAAGTTAGGGTATCTGGTGTGCTTTTACCTCAAAACACAAACAGTGTATTCTATTCTTGCATGGAACAGCCCCAAAAAAGATCACAGCCCCAAAAAAGATCATTTCCTTCAACCTCTGTCAGCTCATGCTGCCTTGCTACTATCTTCATGCAAGGATGATCAATGAATACTACCATTGTAAACATTTAGTTGCTCGCTAGTTTTGGCGGCATCATCATGAAGAATGCACACCATTCCAGAGTTCTCAACGGGACAAAACAACCCATTGCTGCTTTCGATGCGCCATACATAGATAGTGGCATCCAAAGGAGAGAAAGTCCCTCCCAAGACCAAGAGAAACAAAAGCCATTGTATTGTTGCCCTTCCCCATGCATGGGGCCATGCCATGCATGAACCCAAGCCGGCCAGGAGAGAAAAAGAAGAGAGCCCCCCATCCAATAATAGCCACGAACAAAGACAGACAGGTGAATGAATCTACTACCACAGTATGGAAAAGGACCCTTTGGTAGGCCATCACACAACTGGTGCACCACCAGACCACACCACATGCCATGCTTCTCTTCAGAAGGCTTGATTGACACACGGGAGAAAATCAAAAAAGAAAAAAAGAAAAATCAGGAGACAACACCAGGACCCATTCACATGACACCTATCATCATCTAGGCCTAACAATGCAGATGGTGAACTACTACATTACACTTGCGAATGGAGCACACTTGCCTGCTTGCTCGCTCGCTCGCTCGCTCACTCGTCAGTCACTGGCAGTTGGCGCTCCGGCCGGGGCCGCCGTAGTAGAAGTAGGAGCCCCAGTCGGCGTTGTTGCCGTTCTGCACGTCGTAGCAGTTGGACTGCTCCGTGAAGGTGCCCATGCCATGGGGCGCCTTGAGGTTGTTGGTGCTGTCCACCACCTGGATGTTCTTGAAGTAGCTCGCCTTGCCGAACCCCTCCTCCGGGAAGTGCCCGCTGCCCATCTGCGTCGACGTGTGCACCCCCTCCGCCTGCGAGTTCACCACCTCCCCGCCCCACTCGATCATCGACGCGCTGTCCGCCAGGTACGAGAACAGGAACGACGGCCAGTAACCCAGCACGTACTCCTTGCCAAACTGCATCCACCAGTGACCCTCCTTCGGATCCTGCTCAAGAGTAGCAATGTAGACCAATTAGAAGACATGCAGCATTATGGTATCCGACCCGGCATAACGATATATTATACAGAAATAGAATCATTAGTGTCTAGACTTCAGTTGGGGTTAGCCGTTTAGCTTCAAGAAGATGCCGACACTCATGGTGCACTAAGCAGGCCGTGAAACGCACTCATTGCCCGTGCGTGATAGAATGAAAAACACTCGACTTTCTATCTCGGCATGGCACTCGCTTGCTGAGGTGAAAGGTAGCAATGCTTCATGAGGCTTCTATTGACAAACACTACTAAGAGTAATCATCAAGGCTAAAAAAGCTTGTTGACAAAACATGTATCATAGCCACATGCTGAGCCTGAGGGGTATGTACTAAGGCCCTGTTTGGTTCATAAGTCCTAGGACTTTTTTTAGTCCCAACTTATAAGTCCCAAGTCCCTAAAAAGTCCCTGCCTGTTTGGTTCCTGGGACTTATAAGTCTCTATAAGACCATATTACAACTATAAGTCCCTATAAGTCCCTCCTTGAGAGTCTTATTTCATAAGTCCCAAATGCCCACTTTAAGTCCCTATAAGTCCCTCCTGTTTGGTTTAGATGGGACTTATAGGGACTTATTTAAGTCCCTAGACCAATAAGTCTCTGGAAACAAACACCCTCTTAGATGGGACTTATAGGGACTTATTTAAGTCCCTAGACCAATAAGTCCCTGGAAACAAACACCCTCTACATAATCTTCAGAGCCAGAGCCCCAGAGTTCAGTCAAGGAGCAAGAGGAGTAAAGGGCACAGCAGCAAGTGGGCAAAATCCCCTGTGGCCTGCATTCATGTTGGTGACAATTCTCAAACAGTACTGGATGAACTGCTTCCCCACTCACCTTCCAGATGAGTATGCTGATGTCGTACTGCGAGCCGGAGTAGCCCGAGATGGGGAAGATGCTGGCCCCCATGGCCACCTCGTTGTTGATCTGGACGAACCCTGAGCACAGCATGTTGTAGCACCCTGTTGCCTGGTACGCATCACTCTACACAACACAGAACATAAATATACAGGTTAATAAGATCAACACAAGCACATGTCACAAAGAATTTCAGGCTTGATTTTCACAGGATTATGTGAAGGGAGAAAAACTTACAGTCCAGTAGGTGAACAGTCTTGTATTGTTGTCCCCATAGAGGTCCGGGCTAACCTGATGAACCAACAAACAGAAAAGAGAAAAGTTGAGGGCCCGTGACACCACCGAGCTAGCTAGAAACGGTAGGAACAGAGCTATCCATCAATCAACCGCAGCGACGGTGTGGCATTAAGTAGACAGACATGGGCTCCGAGAGCGAAGTGATCAAGCTCATGGAGCTGCATGTGGTTGGGTGATCTTATCGGTGGTACGTACCTGCCAGCCAGCCTCGATGCTGTTGAGGTCCTCGCCGAAGGAGCCCCCCAAGATCCACAGCTGGGACAGGCTGAACTCGTTGGGCTGCTCGATCTTGGGCTCCCACACGTTGATCGTCGCCTTGGCGCCGTAGTACTTCTCGCCCTGAACGTATGATATCGCGTGCTGAAAATACACAACAGTCAGAGTTCATGCTTCAGACACAGCACTAGTCAGTCAGTGGCATTTCTTCTTCCTTGCTGCCACTCAAACAAACACCGAGTGAGATAGTAGATGGATGCAATGCGTGCACGTACTTGATGGCCGCCCTCGTTGAGCATGGCGAGATCGACCGACATCGGGTTCGCCACCGTGGGCTTGTGCTTCCTGCCGTAGCGCCGCATCGAGCTCGCGCGCATCAGGTCGTCCTTCTTGGTCCTCCGGACCGGGACGGTGCCCGGTGCGCACCTGCCGTTGCGGTGCCAGAGCTGAACCATCGGCCGCTCGCCGTCGCCGGAGGAGGCCACATTGGCCTTGGACTCGTCGTACAGGCCCTCCGGGTGATAGCTCGGCCTCATCTGCAGACGCAAAAATGTTCAGCAAAAACAATGGCATCTTCTCCTGCTGCTGCTGACGCATCTGAAATCAAGCTTAAGATTGGTACCTGGATGGTGTGGTTCTTGAGGAACGGGTGGTCGAAGGCCGGCTGGTGCGAGATGTGCACGCAGTCTATGATGTCCCCGTCAGGGCTCTGCTCGATTAATTTGCAAACAAACAAACGTAAATTAGCATCCACTGACTGAAGTTTGCGTAGCATTGCAAAAGGACACCACTACTTTGGTTTGCATCCACTGACTGAAGTTTTGAGCAAGAATAAATGAAGAATGGCATTGCAAAAGGACACCAGTACTACTACTACTTTGGCTGGCATCCACGGATGAAGCTTCAGATTTTGCAGTAGGCAGGAAAGGAATTCCTCACAAAGTAGTGGGCATCTTTCTTGAAATTTTTTCATTAACCTTTTGCAAAATTCGTAAAGCGAGAAAGCGAATCGGCCCCAAGAACAAGCCGCCGGGAAAAAACAAGCCCCCGGAAAGGCCATCCTTTTTTGAATCAGGGCGTGGTAACTTTGAGCGACTGGAGCAGCCAAGAAGTGCGCCCGTTGAATCAATCTCGCCCAAATCCCCCCAAAAAATGCAGATTGAAACGGACACCGGCTTTGACCAGGAAGGAAGGGAGAAAATAAATCCCCATTCAAATCTTGAGAAGAACAACGGCACAAGAGGAATCTAGCTATTAGCTCGTCGGAGTGGACGCACGCACGTACCTCGATGCTCTTGACGGCCGGCTTGTTGAGGCGCTTGAGGTGGCGGTGCATCCGGGCCTCCGGCGACCTGGCGGCGGCCGCCGCCCCACACGAGAGGCACATCACCGCCGCCAGCAGGCACGCGACGACGCGCGCAGCGGCCATAGCTCCTCTCCTCTCTCTCCCTCTCTCTCCTCCACCGCTCCTCCGCCCGCCTCCGCGCTCCGGCCGAAGCTTCAAGAAGAAAGAACCCCCTCCTCCTGCCGCACCAGAGACGCCCCTGCCCGCCGGCGACCCACCGCCGCGCCGCCTCCGGGGACCGGCCTGCGGATTTTGAAACAATGCGGGGGTGGGGGTGCGGAGCGGTGGCACACTCTCGGGCGCCACGCCGTCTGAGCTGGGGAGTAGCGCGAGGTTTGCAACAAGTGGGCAGTGGAGCGAGGCCGCGGCTGGCAGTGAGTGCGCTGCGGTGTTTGTTTTCTTTGCGGGGATGGGAAGAGGCCGTCCGTCCGCCGCCCAGTCGAGCTCGCACGCTGCGGCTTTTTGCGGGCCGCTGGACGGAAATGCCCCTGCGGTACGGTACACCATTCGTAAATTGCTCCGGGGCTCCGGGGGAGCCCACGTCGGACGCAGCCAGCCCCCACTGGAATGTGGGCCCCAGCGACAATTTTCTGTATGTTCGATGAGTAAATAGATTTTCCAAAACAAGAAATGGTTGTGTTGATGAGCAGTAGCCTATATCTTTGTTAAAGATATGGCATCTGCTTTGCTGTGGACGCAACATATTGATATGCTTGGCAAATGTCAAACCCTAAAATACAAAGGTTGCAGCAGGCGAATAGCATACCGAACCTTGTTTCCTCAACGCAGGAAAGAGCCCAACTTTGTTATGATATAAGTAGTAGTACTACTTCGTCGGAGTGATGAGAACATGCACACAAACCGCGTTCAATGGAGAGAGAAAAAATGATATGAATGTCGTTGATATATAAACCAATGCAACATAGCAAATCAAAAATTCCAACTAAAATAATTATCAAACCAAATAAGATTGGCATAAGCAGGATTTGATGATATAGTAGCATGACATTTGTTGGACCTATTTTGTTGTGCTACTAGTCAACGTGAGTTGCTCCAAAATAAACAAGTACGGAGTACTAGGTTTTTGAAGGTTCTAAAGATACAACGGTCGGCTGATCTAAGATTATTTTTATAGGTGAAAGTTAACATTTAATCGGAAAAAATGTAAAAGGTAACCACGCTAACTCAAAAAAGAATCAAGTAAACAACACGTGACATGCATAATAAAAAAAAGTTCACTCAACATGTTGACTTATTGCTCGCAAAAAGAAATGTTGACTTGATGATCGATGTAGGCTTAAGAAGACATTGCATCACAAAGACTGCAACATTTTCGTGTTGTTTTTGGTTTTCCTGCCGGCCTGATTACTCTGCTCCCTCCGTTTCACAAGTAGGAGATGTTTTCAATTTTTAGTATGAACTACGTACGGAATGAAATGAGTAAACGAATACAGTAAAACATGTCTATATAGACCTGTCTGACAAAGAAAGTTATAACATCTTATATTGTGAGCGGAGGGAGTACTTGGTAGAAGCCGAGATATTTCATATACACCTATAAAAAAACCAAAGTAAACCTGGAATAAAGAAGTACTCCCTCCGTTTCTAAATACTCACTACGTTTCTTTTTAGTCTGCATATAAGATTTGATCAAAGCCAAACTTTGTAAAGTTTGACCAACTTTATGGAAAAATGTATTAACATCTACAATACTAAAGCTATATGGTATGAAAGTTTATCTCATGATGCATCTAACAATATTTATTTCATATTGTGAATCTTAATATTTTTTTTATAAACTTAGTCAAAGTTAAGAAAGTTTAACTTTAATCAAATCTTATATGCAGACTAAAAAGAAACAGAGGGAGTATAAGTTTTTGTAGACATTTCAAATGGACTACAACATATGAATGTATGTAGAGACATATTTTGAAGTGTAGATTCATTCATTTTGTTTTGTATGTAGTCGTCACTTGTTGGAATCCCTAAAAAGACTTATACTCCCTCTGTTCCATATTAGTTGTCGCTCAAACGGATGTATCTAACACTGCAATACGTCTAGATACATTCGTTTAAGCGACAAGTATTTGGGAATGGAGGAAGTATTTTGTACTCTCTTCGTCCCAAAACATGAAAATATTTTTAACACCAGCATAGTGTCAAAAACAATCTTAAATTCCGGGACAGAGGGAGTAATACATAATTCCATGCCTCCTAAACTTCACTCGTATCATCCTTTCGTGTCAAAAGAAGTATACATTTCCTACATAACTAAAAAAGAATTAGACCACTCACCACGTGCTGTATAGGCGGTCAAAGTTTAGCGAAGATATATAGTGAACTAAACTAGAAACTTGGTTATAGAACCGGACATGCTCTTTGTTTTGTGTTCAAGGATAAAGATAAGATTCCCCGCAAAAAAAAAAGGATAAAGATAAGATGATGGCCGCCGTTCACGCCTCGGACGTGCGCGTGCCCAACCCGATCTTCTTCCCACACGGCGGCCAGCGCGTGCGTGCGTGCACCCGGTGTGGTAAAATTTCCTCCAGCACCACCACCACCAGGATCGGGCCCCGGCGCGCGTCACGTCCCGTCCCGCTCACCCCGCACCCGCGGCCACGTGCGAGCTGACAACATCGCCGCGGCAGACAACATCGCCGGGGATGTTTTTTCGCACTAGTCTCTCTCAATCAGAGGCGCGTCAGTCAGTAACACCAACAGCAGCGATTAACAAATTAAATCCTTTGCATAAACAACCCCTGGTGGTAGTAAAACACTGCAGGCGGTAATTATAGTGTTACCGCTGCTGCCTGTGCCGGGGTTGGTGATTTGGTCTGCTCTGGTCTGGTTGTTGGCGCGTTGCGGGAGCAGCAGTAAGAAAGAAGAGCACACACGGTCAATGCACGCAGCACTGCTACACTTCATCAGTAGTAAAACGGGATGATCGGTCTCCCCACCACCGGATCTTTACGGTCTTGGTAATCGGGGTAAAAACAACTTGCTGAACACTAGTTACAAGATTCATTTACGTACAGTACGTACGTGTGGTCCTCTATGGTTCTGACGGGGCCCCCACACACATCCTGTATATCTGTATATGGGTGCGATGCGAAGAGGGCCGGATGTCTGAGGCCCACAGGGTGGAAACACAATCAGCTTGGAACGGCGCAATGCACTGCAGCAAGCAGTAAAGTGAAAGAGTTTTCACTCTTCTACGGCTGGGCTGCCTATACACCTACTCCCTCCGTTCCTAAATATTTGTCTTTCTAGACATTTCAAATGACTATTACATACGGATGTATGTAGACATATTTTAGAGTGTAAATTCACTCATTTTGCTTCGTATGTAGTCACTTGTTGAAATGCCTAGAAAGACAAGTATTTAGAAACGGAGGGAGTACATGATTCTCTCCATTTTATGGATCGAGGAACTTTGGTCTCATAAGTTGAGGATTGGAGTTAAAAAGCTCATTTGAAAGCCCAGTTGGGTGATGCACCAGCGCTGTGAGACAGTGGCATGGCATGTGCTTGGTGCACAAGCTGCTAGAGTTTAAGTAAAACAAAAGGCAAGGCAAGATGGCCAACACAGGGAATCAATCTGTGTAGAAAGCCGTCGGTTTGCTTTTGCTGCTGGCTTTTCTCCTATGGCTCATGCCACAAGCGCCCGAAAGACGCCTTTCTTTCCTACGCACTTTCGTGCCTCTATTATTGTTTTTACGATCGGCCATGAGAAAGTGGTTACCAAAAGCTACTAAGCTAGGGATGCTGTGCTACAGCAAATGGCCATACTTCCCTACCAATAGTAAGAGCCGAATCATTGCATTGCCTGCCCTAGCTCACTACCTCACTCGCTGATGAAGGATGGCACAAAATGGACATCAGTCGTGCGCCAAGATGAATGGACAGGATCAAATGGATACCAAACTACTATGCAGATGAAGCTCCCTGCACTGCACGACAAGGGAACGACAACCAAATCCAGCCGTCTACTTCACTTTTACTGTTGTGCATGGACGAGCCGATCTGATTGTCGTTCACAAATCGTCCACTGACCATCGTGTGTATAGCAGCGCTGAAATGGATATGACTTATATACTTCCTCCGGACCATATTAGTTGTTGTCGATTGAGCACAAAGTCATGCTAAATTTGTACTAAATCAATGGTAATTAATGGATTTGGACCGAAAGAGTAGTATTATTTGGCGGCAGGGAATACGTGGAAACAGAGCACGATCGGCATATAGTAGTCAGTACGTCAGTTTGGCGTCTGGTGAAGGCATGGCCAATGCATAGCTCCACAATGATGCCTCACATGCCATGTAGGATCGGATAACAGAAAAAATAGATTCGGATGGGGAAGCAGGATCCTCTCCAGGAGGCCGGTGCTTAGAGACAAAAAGTGTGGTTCAGTGCATAAAGTTGAAAAGGTTAAAATGAAGAGAAGGGATGCATGTGTAGTTAGAGTCACTTTTTATTTTTTGATAAGGTCCATTAGTAATAGCTTGCATTGCAGAGAAAAAATCAACACATATGATTTAAATTACTTTTTGTCATGAGACATATGTATCCATATGCTACTACCATTATACATGCCCTGAGACGCTGGCTGGCAGTTGCACTGGCAGTGGCGTTGGTGCTGGGATCCCAGGTAAGAACAGAAGAGGGGTCAGTCAGTCAGTCATGGGGCGCAATTCAATATCAATTCAATTCAAACGCCGTGATATAATGTCACGTGGTGTGCCTCCCTCCCTCCCCCGCGAGCAATGCTGGCGTTGCTGTAGCCAGCAGGCTTGTCCCAACGTGCCGATGCATGAAGCAGCAGCTGAAGCAGTGAACGCACGACATTGTATCCTCTTCTCCGGTCCGGTCTTCATGCATGCCACATTCAAGCCTACGGTCAAGATCGAACGAACCAACTTCCTGGAGGCAGGCAGGGCTGCAGCGCGCCAATTAATTACAACAACTCCAACGCGTCAACCCAATCAGTCGGCGGATTTGTTCGTTTTTTTTATCCATTTGAACCGGCCTGACAGATATCAATGTTCGCTTCCACGTTTGGATCGGCACATAGTCCAACGCTGGCCTGATCCATTTTGACGGCGCATAAAAAAATAGAATGCAAACATTTTAAACATAAAAACAAACATTAATTAAACAGTAAAGCCGGCAACGAAGGCAGGTGATAATCCACGCGTCCACATCTAACATAAAAAAAGCTAACTATGAGGCGGCGTGCTGCTCTAGGCGTCTTTGTCGTCGTCATTGGGGCTGGTGAGGTCGATAAGCGTCGGCGCAGGGCCGGTCCAAGGGAACGTCGTGTTCCAGACAACGACGTTGATGTCGGACGCGGGCTGTGCCGCCGCCTCCTGGCCCTGGCACACCTCCTCGGCCTCGCGCTCGTCCTCCTCGGCAGAGCGCTCGAGCATCTCGAGGTATTCGTCGTGGCGGCGCTCCTCGGCCAGTCGTCGCTGGCACCATTGTTCGAGGTACGCAACCTCTTGCGTCAGCGTCGCCCCCATCCAGACCGGGTGACCCCTGACACACTCGCGCACTCACCCGGTCCATGAGTAGCGCTCGATGGGGGTCGGCTCCGGCTCGGCCTTGACGGGGGAAGGCGGGGGCCACCGGCAGCATGATGCAGTCGCCCGTCGCGGAGAGGGTCATGGTCTCCGCCATGGCCGCCTGGTACGCCGCCTTCTCTT